CCTGTCCCTAAGCTCTGCCCCAGGGGGAGGATGAGGCTAATGACTCTAAGTCCCAGCATGGCTGTGAAACATGTGGAGACGCCTTCTTAACACACCTTGGCTGAGTCGCAAGACCCAGAACTGGGGAGTCAGAGCACCTGAGTCAACACTGACTGCAGGAATTGCCAAGCAGAGGCATCTAATGGCATTTGCAGACAGGGCCGTGGCCCAGGAGCGTCAGAAGTTGGTGGGCAATCCGGTCAATTACGACGGAGGCGAGGCCACCACGGCAGCCTCACAGCTGTGCCTCTCGCTGGTGGTAAATTTTCAAGAGATTCTTTTTATACAGCTCTCTTTCTAAGAAATCAACTTCAAATGGATTTCCAGAAGCTGACTTAACCAGGACTCATCACCATAGAAACACTCCCAAGGATGGCAGGGTGACTTCACCTGCACGGTATCAATTCTGTATTGAGAAAGATTCTGAGTCAGGTGCCAGAATCCACTAGTGCTATCTGCTGTAGGAGCAACCAGTGGGGGTATACACATTGGATCTTAGTGGGCTCCAAAAGTATCCTGAGATACTTTGGGACGAAGGATAACAAGATGGTTAAGTGATTAGATTCTGAGGTCAGACTGACTGAGTTCAAATCCGGTCTGCCACTTATTAGCTGAGTTATATAATCTCTCTACGCACCAGTTCCCTCAACTGTGAAAGGGCTAGAAGAGATACGTGCAACAGGCTATGCCCCGTTACAAAGACATGACATCATCAAAAAGAATGTAGTGTGGCCAAATGTGCAACTATGAACTGCCCACAAGACAGCAGTTTAAGTGTCTGACAGATGTCACTATGTTTCCCTTGAAAATTTAACTCATCCCATAAAGCCACTATGAGCTTACTGTAGCATGGGGTGCCCTGGTACACAGTTTGGGAGTTACAAATATAAACAATTTCCATTACCCACCTATCCCGCAAAAGATGCCTAGCTAGCATCCCTCTCTCTTTTTTACTACCAGTATTTTGGTTTTCCTCCATGGGACCATCCCTCCCCTTATTTTATGTAATGTGAGTAGCACTATGCTTCCAGGAGCAGACATGTGACCAAGGCCTGGCCAGTCAGTGCCACAGTGACTGGTTAAGAAACGAATGATCACATGACCCAAGATGGGCCAATGAGAGTCAGCCCTGGGACTCTTGCTGAAACCACAGGGGGAAAAGATGCTCTGTTGCTGCTGGGTTTGCTAAGCTGCTAAGCTAGTGGATGTCCGCAGGAGGCTGCCAATGGCCCTCTTTGTCATGACATGAGGAGGGACTGCCTGAGAATGAAGCTGGCATACACACGCACACACACACATCATTTGAGCTCCTGCATCCAGCCTTGCCTGAAGCCATTTACCAGTGGCCTTGAGTCAATAAACCCCCTTTTTGGCTTAAAACCAGTCAAACTGGGTTTCTGTCACTTGCAACTAAGAATCCTGACTAATACATTGCGTGAAAGCACTATACCAATGAAAAGAGACTCAGCAAGTTCAAAAGTTTTCTTCTAGAGCTAAGGGTCTCAGGATACTTTTGGAGCCCACTAAGATCCAGAGACCCAAAAAGTATCTGAGCTATATAGCAGGGCTGGGTTCAAAGCTTGGTTCCATGACTTTCAAGTTATTTAACATCTCTTAGCTTCACTCTCATCTATAAAACAGGGTTGCCATTTAGCTTAAATGGGATTATCCAGGTATCACATATATTTAATCACATGGTTAGCAGCTGCTGCTGCTGCTGTTGTGGTTGTTACTGTCAGCCTTTGTTTTGTAGATAAAGAAACTCGAGCTCAGAGAGATGGCTTGGCAAAGACTAGGCAGCGCTATGACCTGAACCCAGGAATCCTGACTCCCTGTCCAGTGTTTTTTCTGCACAATCCCTGCTTGCTACTAAAGAAAGAGGCCCACAAGGCAAGCCAAGATGGAAGAGAAACAAAAGCCAACGAAAGAATACTCCAGGCACGGATTTGCCGTGGGTAGTGGTTAAGAGTACAAACTCTGATGTCCAGCAGCCTGGGTTGGAATCCTGGCTCGAGCACTCACAAGTGGTGAGACCTTGGGGAACTGACTTGACCTCGGTAAAACGGAGACAACAGGATCTGTTTCATAGGAGTATTAATGAAATAATGCTGAGCTTCCTGCTGTTAGCCTGCCTCCCTGATGTCCACACACAGCAGCCAGAGGGATGGATGCACATTTTATTGGTCTACAAGGCTTCTATATCCCTGTGAGAACAGGCTTATGGAAAAGTTGCTACAGGCCACCTCCTCCTTGGGCTGGGAAGGACAAGGTTAGGTTTCCAGTGATGCAAGACAGGAAATGCTCATTAAATTACTTGCCACGGTGTCTGTAAGTGACCTTCTGTGGTCACACCACAGGCCAAGAGGCCATGCACACGCTGGTTTCAGACTAACACTCAATTCCCCAGCATGGCCAAAACCCCGACCACCCAGAAAGTAAGTATTCATGGAGACTCAACTGTGCCCCAGAGTTCAGTAAGGCCCTGACAGATGCAAATCATAGTCTAAAGAAAACTGCTCCTTTCCTCTAGAAAGTCCCAGGGATTATGTTGGGGTTTTTTTGGGGGGGAGGGGATACAGGGGGGAAATTCCAAAGACCTTTCAAATCCTCTAGAGTCTAAGAATTAGGTTTCCTCTTTCTTTCCTTGGTATAAAAAGGGAAAGAGGTAAAACACAAAGATCTTATACATCACCCCCGAATCAAAGAATATAAACATGAGACTCACAAATCCCAGATTCTAAGGCAGACACAGGGAAATTAAAATAGAGCAGGATTTTCCAGTGGGGGGAAAAAAACCCTTCCTAGTTCCAATGTGCCACCTACTTATCTGCTGTTACCTCCTTGTTCCCCAACAAATACCTCATATCGGAAACTCTGTCCAACATACTTCCAATATACACCCTTCTTATTATGTGCATAATTCCAGAGACCTTCATCTCAGAAGCTCAGACCTCTCACATTTAATATGAGGGGGAGAGGGAGAAGGCAGAGACATTTAGAGAACCAAGTTCTAGCCCCAACTTTACCACTAAATAGTCATGTTGTGCTGAAGCATGTCCAAGCTTCAGTTTCCTATCTGTGAATTGAAGATGTAGATGGTGGTTTTTGCTCCAGCCTATGACCTTGACCCCTGGGAGGCCATCTATCACTGGCCTCTGACCCAGCAGCTGACCACTTAAGTCTGCAGCCAGCAGGGTGCCCCGTCCCCAAAGTAGGATCCAGTCCACTCCAGTTCCCTCATCCTACAGAACTGGGCGGGAGACATCAGCTTCCAACAAGTCATACCTTCCTCAACTCTTGCTGTGCACCAGGGGACGAGATCCAGTTCCCAGTTCCTCCGTCACTAACACACCTGAGCACCCAAAACACGTAAGAACAAAACAAATCAAGCAACTCCTTTGCAACCCTTGCCTGCCAAGACTTGCTATCTAATTGCTGTTAATTGCATTAATTGCATAGCTCTGAAGTGCAAAGATTCCTCCCTCTCCTCCTCCTCCTCCAACACAGGACAAGCGAAAGGAATGATGAACAACAAAAGCTCCACACCGTAAAGCTCTTCCCTTCTCCCACTCCCAACCTTAACACCCACTCTGTGGCTCCACAGCTGAATGTGACCTCAGAGCTCAGTGGGACAAAGCATGAGGAAGTGGCTGAGCCGTCTCCATGAGAGGGGACCCCCTTGGAACTGAGTGGGTCCCAAGCCCTAGACCCAAAGGAGAGGGCACCAACCCACACACACTGGACAGGCCACAAAAGGGATGACACTTTTGGGTACCTCGCCCTCTGCTCATTCATGCCTGAAACAGCAACCCCCCTCCTGCCCAGTCTCTCCTGCACCCCGCTATTCATCAGAACCATAGCTGCTTGTCTAGAAAGACCCACCAGAGACAACCTTGGCAACATCCTCTGGACACTGTAGGAGGCCAACTGAGCAGCAGATAAGAGCTCCATGGACAGGGAAAATGTCACTGCTCCAACTGAGGCAAGGAGAGGACTGGCGTGGGGGTGTGGTGCGTGGTTTCAGGCAAACAGAGCCCAAACCCCAAGAGAACAAACAATCCCATGGCTGGAAAGAGAGCAGCCCCATCTCCAAAAATGGTCCCTGAGTCCCTCTTGGTCAACCCCAAGGTTTCTTGAGGCATCTCTAGTCACCAGAGTGGGTGGCTGAGGCCTCTCTGAACGTCCTATCAGGAACTCCTGCCAGGCCCCGTGGTGGCAGTGCCATTCTCTCAAGGGACTTCCCTTACATCCACCCTAATCCTCCCTGTGTCAGGCTCTGGGCCAGAGAGGTAGGGCTGGGAGCAGCCTCTATCACTGGGTGAGGCCACCCAGCTGTCAGAACTGACAGAGGCCACCCACAACGCCAAGCTCAGCCTGCAGCAGCGCCACAGAGGCGGGCACAAGAGCAGAGCCCCCAAAGACAGGAAATAGGGGTCCCTATTCCCAAGCACAGCCTAGAGGTTCGAGGTGAATGACTCCTAAGTACATCTCCCAAAATGGAGCTGCAGGAGAGGGCTGCCCTGCCAGAGCGGAGGGAGAGTGAGGCTGCCAAAAGCAGACGGGTGGGCGTAGGGTTAGAGGAGACTCCGCGGAGCTGGGGCTGGGCTGTTCTCTTGGAGCCCCAGCACCTACCACCCCCCTGGGGTCTCCTCCACATGGGCACGCCTGGAACTTGCCTCGGAGGCCACATACCAACTTTCTACAGCGAAGGAGGTGCGCGGAGCAGAGCTGGAGAGAGGGCTGGGGAATGGGGGGCTTCGACCGGGCGCCCCATGTGGACGGAGAACTGAAGCGCTGGGAGGTGGGAGGCGGCTGGTGCACGCCGACCACCAGCCCCCAGGGCCTAGCCAGGGACACTGCCTGGGTCCTGACTGTCCCCACCGCCCAGGCCTGGGGGGCAGGAAGGGGAAGGCACTGCGGCGCGGTCAGCAGAGTTGCGGGACCAGGTGGCCTGGCCCTACCTGCAATTCCTGAAATTCTCCCTCCAGCTCGTGCCACTCGCGCTCGCAGCACTCCAGCGGCCCGGACATGGTGCAAGGCGGCGGCGGCGGCGGCGGCTCGTGCAGCGCGGCCCGGCCGGCCACCCGCACCCCACTCCCGCCCGCTCGCCGGCCGCCCTCCGCGGCACCAGCTGTTCCTGCGCAGCCGGAGCCACGCGCGCACCTGACGTCACGGCCCCGCCCCACCCCCTCGCGCGGGAGGCGGGGCCCGCGCATGCGCCCGCGCCCCGGGTCCGCCCCCGCGCGCTGGGCCTGCGCTGCGCATCCTTGACGGTGTCGGCAGGGTCTGTCGCTGCCCGGGTGGGAGCGCCCGTGGGCCTCCAGAATCTCTCTTTTTTGGGAGAGGCTGGAGGGCTCGTCTGCAAGCTGCATTTGCAGAGCTTATTTAACTTAGATTGGTAGTGTCTGGGGTTGGGGGGAGGAGGGAGATTTGGCGGAGGTGAGAGCTCACCCATCCCTAAACATTGCCCCACCCGAGCCAGAGCCGGAGCCAACGCCCCGGGAAGCCGGGGCTGACATTGACCGGCCAGCAAGGTCGGGGGCAGGGCGGCGCGGCGAGGGCCCTGTCATCTCACATGTCATTATTAAGTACTGCAACTAACGCATCCTAGATTCCTGCCCTCTATGACTGCGTGACTCTCACGGCAGCTGTTTTTGTCGCTCGAATGACACAACCGCCTCCAAGCTAATTGAATCCAATTCTCTCCCCTCCCCTGCAAAGTCGTCCTCCAAGTCCTGCCTGTGCCTAGAATTCCAGTCACACCTCCTCTCTCTCGCCGCCCTGGATCCGTCTCTCCAGTCATTGCCTGCTCTTTTCCTGACCTTGCATGGAACATTCTTCCCTCTGAATCTTCATACAGCTGCCCTTTTTCTCACCATTCAAGCCTCGGTTCAGATGACACCTGTGTTCGTTTCCTAGGGCTACCGTAACCACAAACTGGGTGGCTTAAACAATGGAAACATATTCTCTCACATCTCTAGATTTCTGGAGTCTAGTAATCTGAGATCAAAGTGTGAGCAGGGCCTTGCTCCTTCTGGGTCTGGGAGAAGAATCCTTCTTTGCCTCTTCATAGCTCATGGCGGTGGCTGTCAATCCTTGGCGTTCCTTGACTGCATCACTCCCATCTCTGTCCTGTTGGCTCGTCTTCTTCCTTGTGTGCATGTCTCTGTGTGTCCTCTCTTACAAAGACACCCCTTTCTAGTGTGACCTCATCTCAACTGATTACATCTGCAAAGACCCTGTTTCCAAATAAGATCACATCCAAGGTCGCCATGTCATTTGGGGGAATGCAGTTCAACCCTAACACTATCCCTGGAAGAAGACCCTTCTGAACACCTGAGGTCCACACCTCCTCCCAGCCACTTATATCTCACATGTGTTATTTCCTTCACAGAGGTACCACCATATGTAATTGTTTGTTCCCATGTTGGTTGGTTGTTTCTCTCCATGGGAATATGATCTCTGTGAGCTCTCAGGGAACTTGTCCGTGTCTTAGTCATTGCTGGATTCCCAGAGCTTGACACATAGTAGGCCCTCAATAAATATTTGTTGGAGGAATGAACTTTAAAGATCGTCTACTGCATAAGTTCTCAACTTCGAGGGTTCACAGACCACTCCAAGAATTTTTTACAGGGAAAATGCACACAAGCACCCAGAGATTTGTAATTCTTAATTGAGGTCTGAAGAGAGGTGTGATCTACCCAACGTTCCCAGCTAATTAATGGCTCACTTTGTTTTGCTTTTTGAGACAGAGTCTCCATTTGTTGCCCAGGCTAGAGTGAAAAAGTGCCTGAGATAAGATACAGAACACTAAGCAATATCACAGACAAACAACAAATCACAACTCCGAGGACATACAAGCGACACTAACCTAGCATCGCAAAAACACAGAGTAGAAAACTAGGAGAATAAGAGACAATAAAAAAAAACGCCACCAATAGACACGAGATATTTTAAATTTATATAAAATAAAAAAAATAAAATATATATATAGTTGGCAATTAATTTCATTTCAATTAATAAAAAAGGTAAGAGACAGGGTCTTGCTTTGCTCAGAGCTGGTTTTCGAACCTCTGAACATAGAGCATCGTACCGGCTCAACCAAGAATAGCACAATAAGGAAACAGGTGTGAAGAACCACCAAGCAAAAAAAAAACCTTGGCCAAAAAAACAATAGGCATCACTTTAGAAATTAAAAAGATATAAACATCATCAAGATCCTAAACAAGTAGCATATAATTAACAATTAAAAAAATGAAATTAAGGCCAGGTGTAAAAAAAAGAAGAAAATGCTACAAACATGTTATCTATTTAAGTTAAACTTTTTTTGGGGGAGGCCAAAGCAGGAATTTGCTTGAGGCCAGCCTGGACAAATAGTGAGACCTATCTTATAAAATATATACTAAATAATAAATTTAAGCCAGATCAAATTTAGAGAAATGGGAGGGGGTATGCAATACCACTTTAGTGAACCTAAATGATAGAATAAAAGTTCTGATAACACTACCATAACCGGAACAAGCTACAAAAAATTTAAAATAGATGGGCTGATGTAAAACCTAGTAGATCATCAGAGATCAGGCTGAAGACAGAGAGGATAACACATTGAACCAGGGTTCACAGACACTATAAAGACAGAGAGCATAACGATAAGCACCACTAGCAACTCCAGCACTGGGCGAATACAGTGGAAGAACCAACTGATTCTAAAAAAAAATAAAAATGAGAAATAATTTTTAAATAAAAATCCAGAAACTTTAGATTATCTCTATAAGAAACATGAGAAGCTGAATATCACACTAGGAAATATCATATTCCTGCTGACAGTATAAGGACAGAGTAAAACAGCTGGCCCCATTTCATGAGTCAAAAATGCAAGTTGGACCACAAAGTACCCCAGCACTGCTCCACTTGCTTGCCCCAGCCTACCATTCAATACGATGATAATAAATGAAAGTACTAGCATAGGTACCCTGGAACACATTACGCATTTGAGATGAACTGATTCATAGATGTACTGAAAGAGAGTGAGGTAAAGAAGTCCTAAAAAGAAGATTCCAAAACAGAAATAAATCACATGAATGGTGGAAAACAAGAAATAAGAGTTTATTTAAATTGGGAATTAATAGAATCAAAAAGAAAACGGGGCTTGAAAGATGAATAACAGTTACCAAACAAGATTTGGAAAAGAGTTCCTTCCTCGCCTCTAAACATATGCAGGCTGCAATGATCCCAGAGAGTCTATTTGGACCACAAGCATGCCAGGAGCGAAGAAAAGGTGGGACCCTGCCTCCGGGAGACCTGGGCAGGTGCCACCTCATGGGCAGGTTTCCAATACTGAAGGGAACCATCTCCGTGGGGTCAGGAACTACCACATGATTTTATAACAAGCTCTTACTTTTTTATTTTTTTTTTTTTATGAGACAGAGTCCATACAAAAGCTTATGAATTGCCCAGAGACTAAGAAGATAAGAACGATAAGCCAGTGGCCCAACAAATTAAACATAAAAGCTCACCAGAGCAACCTCAAACCCTGGCTCAAGCGATCCTTCTGCCTCAGCCTCCCAAGTATCTGGGACTACAGGCATGCGCCACCATGCACGTATGGCTAATTTTTTGTATATATATTTTTAGTTGGTCAATTCATTTCTTTCTATTTTTAGTAGAGACAGAGTCTCCCTCAGTCTGGTTTCGAACTCCTGACCTCAAGCAATCTGCCCGCTTTGGCCTCCCAAAGTGCTACGATTACAGGCATGAGCCACCGTGCCCGGCCCTACAAGCTCTTCTGTAGATGGCATCAGTGGGCCATCCCACCCAAGTAGCTCAGAAGCCACCGTATCAGGTCTTACCTGGCTACCACCCTGTCCCAGTTCCTGCCCCAGGTGCTTTCAGACTCACTCGTCAGCAACATGGAGCTGGCTCTTTAGGGACTTTGATTATGGTGGATGACAGAGTGTGACTCTGGACATTTCCCCCACCCCCTGCGCACACTACTACAGGGATATCTCCCCTATTTGTTCCCTTTAAGACACTCTACTTAGGGACTGCCAGCCTAAGGATTTATTCAACTGGCTGGGGAGAGTCACAAAGGTATAATAGCAAATACGTAGTGTTCTATGTGTTTGATAGAACACACACAGACACACACACACACACACACACACACGCTGTCTTCATGACAACTTTATGAGGAAGGATCCTTCTGATTCCCATTTGACAGGTAAGTACCCTAAGGCACAATTTCTCCAACTTTTAATGTGCCCCTGAATTTCCCCTACCATGATCTTGTTAAAATGCATATTCTGATTCAGTAGGTTCTAAGAGGGGCTCCAGATTTTGTAATTCTACAAGCTCCCAGCCAGTGCTAGAGTCCAGGGTGCAGAGAGGTGAAAGAACTTACCTAACATCATCCAGCTACCAGTAACTGTGTTATTTACACACTGCAAAATACCAAGAGCCAATTCTTTTAAAAAGCGCACCTGTCCAAAGAGAAGCTAACATTTCAAGCACTTTTCCTTCATGTCCTTCCCACAAATGCCCTTGCTAAAAATAGCCCCAAAGCAATGTGTGCAAAGGTAGCAGCACTTTTAGATCAACCACAGACTGGAAACATCCCCAATGCCCCACACTGGGGGAAAAGGTGAACGATAGTGTCTCTATTTCATGTCCAGCTGTATGGCTATTAAAATGATAATTATGGGAACTAAATGGCCACTTGTAAACAGCTGTATTAAATCATTCTCAGTAAAAAAGTAGGACCCAAAATAATGTGTACACACTGATTAAAGTTATGCAGTCATTTATGTCCCCTGAAAAGGATTGAGTAAATTTAGTAGGACAGAAACAGTCCATCATGTAAATTGATGGCATTCTTTTTGGAAAGTTGTTTGGGTATCTAGTAGACATTTAAAACCCTTATCTTGCTGTTCACAGGTTTATAATGTAAACAGCAAGTATTATCAATTACATTTCATTTGATTAATGTTTACCGTTGAAGTAGCAAAATGTCCTTTATGCCCTTGTGTAGTTATTTGCATTACCAAACCTACGGGGGCAGGGGAGTGACATCCAGATTGGACAGGGGCTCTGTGATTGGCTTGGCCCACACAGTCAGACCTGAGTTCAAATCCCAGCCTTACCACTGGCAGGATGGATGACT